TCTGCCCCTCCACAACAAGTCCCACCCCTCAGAGGGTCGGGGGGAACACTGGTTTTCCCAACCCTAACCCTACCTGGGGGGCCACCCTAGCCCTCCTCTGCCCATGCAGAAGCCATGCCAAAAGATGGATTTATAAAATGCTGAATTTCGGGGGGTTTCTGTGCCTGTCTCTTTCTTTCTGCCCCTCCACAACACATTCCACCCCTCAGAAGGTCCGGGGGAACGCTGGTTTTCCCAACCCTAACCCTACCTGGGGTGCCTCTCTAGCCTTTCTCTGCCCATGCAGGAGCCATGCCAAAAGGCGGGTTTCTAAAATGCTGAATTTCGGGGGGTTTCTGTGCCCCACTCATTCTTTCTGCCCCTCCACAACACGTTCCACCCCTCAGAAGGTCCGGGGAAACGCTGGTTTTCCCAACCCTAACTCTACCTGGGGGGCCTCCCTAGCCCTTCTCTGCCCATGCAGGAGCCATGCCAAAAGGCGGGTTTCTAAAATGCTGAATTTCGGGGGGTTTCTGTGCCCCTCTCATTCTTTCTGCTCCTCCACAACACGTTCCACCGCTCAGAAGGTCCGGGGGAACGCTGGTTCTCCCAACCCTAACCCTACCTGGGGGGCCTCCCTAGCCCTCCTCTGCCCATGCAGGAGCCATGCCAAAAGGCGGGTTTCTGAAATGCTGCATTTCGGGGGGTTTCTGTGCCCCTCTCATTCTTTCTGCCCCTCCACAACACATTCCACCCCTCAGAGGGTCGGGGGGAACGCTGGTTTTCCCAACCCTAACCCTACCTGGGGGGCCTCCCTAGCCCTCCTCTGCCCATGCAGGAGCCATGCCAAAAGGCGGGTTTCTGAAATACTGAATTTTGGGGGGTTTCTCTGCCCCTCTCATTCTTTGTGCCCCTCCACAACACGTTCCACCGCTCAGAAGGTCCGGGGGAACGCTGCTTTTCCCAACCCTAACCCTACCTGGGGGGCCACCCTAGCCCTCCTCTGCCCATGCAGGAGCCATGCCAAAAGGCGGGTTTCTGAAATGCTGCATTTCGGGGGGTTTCTGTGCCCCTCTCATTCTTTCTGCCCCTCCACAGCACATTCCACCCCTCAGAAGGTCCGGGGGAACGCTGCTTTTCCCAACCCTAACCCTACCTGGGGGGCCTCTCTAGCCTTTCTCTGCCCATGCAGGAGCCATGCCAAAAGGCGGGTTTGTAATGTGCTGAATTTTGGGATTTTTGTCTGCTCTCTGCTGCTGAAAGGAGCCACTGTAGAATCGACATTCCTTAACTAAGGTTAGGCAGCATCTCGGAGATGTGGATTGTTCTTATGCAAAAAACAGCCGTTGTCCTTCGTTTGTGGTTAATGCTTTTCCGGATCCCCCCCCAATCCGTGCGCCTCTGCCTGCGTCCCCTCGCCTGCTGCCAGCATAAGGACGACTGACCCTGTTTTCGTCCTCTCTCCAGCCCTGACAAACTGATACCAGTTCGTTTAACTCGGTATTTGTCCAGCAAAGGGCATTGCAAGAGGGGCCCCTGGTTGCCAGGAGCTCCGGCTTGGCCCTGCGATCATCTTGACCAGGCCACGTGCTTGGGAGAATCACCCGGGACCCCTCACCTCGCGCAGGACCCTCCCTCTGGGCTCGTCTGCAGACAATTAGGAGGACGTTTGCTCAGTGCTGGTGGCCGTGCAGAAGAGGGGAAGGGGGCTGCTCTCCGTGGCATGGCGGCCGGCCGGTCGTAGCACGGACTGCCAGGCGCCTCGCCAGCCCTCCTCTGCGGGCACCGCCACCCGTTGCGACTTGGGCTATTTATCTCGCTCGCACAAGACACGGGACGGTCGCTGCGAGGGGGCGGAAAGTGTTATTGCTTGCTTTAGCTGGATGTGTAATTGATCCCGGAGCTTATCAGCAAAGGGCAGGGGTGGAGTGCAGCGTCCCGGTTGCCGCGGTTACTCTTTGCCAGAATCCAGCCCCTCCAGACGCCACGCGGCCCGGCAGCCCCCTTTTCCTCCTCGCCGTCTGCAGGGATGTGTATAAATGCTTAAATGCTAAGATGAGAGCGAGGAGGGAGGGAGGGAGGGAGGGAGGGAGGGAGGGAAGGAAGGAAGGAAGGAAGGAAGGAAGGAAGGAAGGAAGGAAGGACCAGCGGACTTCCCACTTCCGTGATCCACTTCCTCCTTCAGGACAGCTTCACAGCATCTTCCGCCCTGGAGCAGCAGGAGACATTTGCCTCCCCTTCCAGCTGCTGATAGCTTGTCCATCATCATCATCATCATCATCATCCCAGAAGAATGGGGCATCCAGCGATTCAGGACAGAAAAGCTTTGTGGCCAGCGATCAGGGATGATGGGACCTGTAGCTTGGGCATGATTCGGAGCCAGTCCTGTTCCTTCAGCCTGGCCTGCCTCACAGGACTGTTGTGAAGAAAGGGGAGAGCACAAATGTAACTGCTGAGGGCAAGCCGGCTGAGTCGTCTGCTGCAAGGGGAGGCATCTGAAGCCCACGCAGACGCGCTCCTCGGGGCGAGCTCGTTGAAGGAGTGTGTGCGTTTTGGTACTTTCCTATACAAAATGAACCAAAACGAAATGCAGTGCAAAGACGCACGCTCCGCAGGTTCCGCTCGTGCCGATCCAGCTGGTCCTCGCCAGGGAGAGGCGGGGAGAGGAGCGGTCCCCTCCGTTCCTTCGGCAGGAATCCGGGTTCTGGCATGGAAGAGGGCCGGCCACCTCGTCAAGGCAGGAGCCAGCCGGGCCCCCTCCCTGGCTCTCGAGCTCGCCTCTCCTGTGCCCAGACCGGGCATGAGACGCGGCCTGGCCTGGCTGGGCGAGCCAGCAGGGGAACGGCGGCTCGGCCTGCATCCTCCATCTCTGGCGGGCGGAACCGTCCTGGCGGAAGCACCTGCCTCCCAGGCCCCCGGAGCATCCCCACGCCCGGGATCCTCTCTCCGTCTCTGGCTTGGCGCCATCCTCCTCCTCTGCCCTCCGCGAACGCCCTTGAGCGGGACGCCCTTCATCTTGCTGCTTCCCTCTGGTTTCTTTAGGTGCAGATGCCGAGGGAGCCTGCCCCAGCCCCTCCGGCACCTCCATCTCTGCCCTTTCTCGCCGCGCGACTCCGGCAGCAGTTTCTACGCCGCTGTGCACAGCATACAAACAAACTCCCCGACTTTGGCGCATGAGGAGAATGCCACTGCTGCGTGCGCCGGGCCTCGGCTGCCGCGAGAGGCGCCTGTGTCTGGTTAACTCCTCCTGTCCCAGGAGCCGGTGGCTCGCCCTCCTGCCCGGCAGGCCTCACGATCCCCTTGCCTGGAAGAATTTCACCCCACAGCCCCCTTGCACCACCCCCTTCCCTGCCGTGCCTGGCACAGTGGGGCTCGAGCTTGCCAGGTGGGGCTTGCCCCACTCCTTCGTTTGACACAGCTCACGACTGGCCCACCAAGCTGTGGAAGGAGCCGTCCGGGAAGACACTGGGGGCCGCCATTAGAGTTATCGGGGCGGGTGTGGAGCCGGCTGTTTGGCCTTGGAGGAAAGGTGCAACAAGCCAGTGGAAGACGATTTGAGCCACCGGGGAGCAAAATCTGCCCCAAAGATAGCTGGGGACAGCCACGGCTCTGATTAGAATTAAAATGGTCCTTGACGGATTCAGGAGCACCGCATCTTTCCCTCATCTCAGGCTTCGCGTCACCTGCAGAGGTCTGGAACTCGGCAAATTGATGAGTGATATAATTTCTTCGCCACCTGCAGAGAGCCGCCGGCCTTTTCTCTCTCTCCTCCCCTCCTCCCCTCCTCTCCCTCTTCTCTTCTCATGTAGTTCGGGTTCCCTGGAATTGGTCCGGGTTGTTTCAACTCGGGATGCATGTGGACACGGGCCGGAGCCCAAGCAGCGCTTGGCCTTCCGCTCGGCGGCACAGCAGAGGTAAAGACCGCTGTCGCTGCTGGCTTTTGTGGGTGTTCGGTGGCACCACAGTCCAAAGGGGGAAACGGCCCAGGGATGCTTGGAGGCAGCGGCTGCTGGCCCTGCCGAGGCTGGCGGGGCTTTGCCCCCCCCCCCCCGGCTTCCAGCGGGCAGAACAGAGCATGCTTGGACCCTTGAGGAGCCCCGCCTGGCAGGACTTCATGATGGATGACCACCCTTCAAAGCGTAATGCTGTGCTGTTGACCTCATCCACCGAGTAGAAGTCAAAATGTAGGTTTCTAGGCCACGGGGAGGTAGATGTAGGTTAAATTTAAAAGTGAACAGCAAGACAGTAGTTATCGGAGGCACGGGGTCCAAATCTCCTCCAGGGTTTTATTTTCGGGAAAAGTCAGGCAGGCATCTGTCAGCAAAGTCTTGGGCTGAGGAGCTGGACGGGGTGGAGCAGAGTGTCCGTGTGGGCCCGGCCTGGCCCGACTCCTTTCCACATTCTCAGCCACCTTGGGATGATGGCCCAGGGCCCTGTATGACTTAATTCAGGCCACACTAGGAAAACCTGTCCCGATGCGCGCTTTCACCCGGGCCTGGGTGGCCCGCCCGTGATAGACGCTTGCCCCTCGGCCCAGGCCCCCCCAGGGAGGGGCTCCCCACCCCCCCGCCGCCTGCCGCTCTCCCTTTCCCCCGTGCGCTATAAATACATTCCCTCAGTCCACCCCAGCGCACTGTATCAATCTTGTTTAATAGACTGGAAAGCTTAATGCGCAGTGGCAGGTCGCGGGGAGCATCGGGGTGATGGATTGTGCCTTCCCGGAGTCGAGCACCGTTGATGTATAATGAAATATTTATGATTTATTCTGGCTAATAAACTGGAATGAAGTGTGTGATATATGGGAACAGATGGGGAACCATTGATGCAGCTTCCATTTGGGGAGTGTGGGGAGGTTTATGTCCGTGACACACGCATACCCATCGCAGGCCCTTGCGTGCCATAAACTTCGCACCTCGCCTGGCTGTTGCGGAGACGGCCGATTCCCGTCCCATCATTAATCTCCTGCTCCTGCCTCTAATTGTTTGTCATGCAGCATCTCCCCCCACGCCTCGTCTCTACAGCCCTTTGCGGGGAATTCTGTTCGTGCAAGAGCGTCGCCCTGCTGGAATGCCGAGCGTGGCGGCAGCCCTGGCCCGCCTCGCTCCTTCGCGCCATCCCAAATCATTCGGGCCCCGAAGCAGAGACTCTGACGGGGGCGTCCCCGCCGCCCCGCACCTGGCATTGAGGCGCGATGCAGGAGAGCAGAGGAGCTCACTGTCCATACCTGCTGCCAGGAAAGGCTCCAAGAGGCCGCTTGCCACCCCAGGCCCCTCCAGCTGTTCCCCCTCGGCCTCAGTAGGGGCACTTCCCAAGTACTTTCGAGATCCCTCCGAAGAAAGCGACCGGCACACACAGGAGCTGCTGTTGCCTCGGACCACTTCAAAGAAGCGCTCCCCAAGGGGGCCTCGTTCTGGACTCCCCCATCCCGCCAGCACGCGAATTCGGAGAGCTCGGCAGCTCTCCAGGCCACAGGCCTCTTGCGAAAGACTGCAGCGGGGAAGATGCCTCGTCCGGTCTGCGCCTTTCCAGGGTGGAGGATCGCCGTGACACGGACGAGGCCGGCAGTGGGGAAACCCCGGGAGCTTGCCGGGCACGGACAGGCCCTCCGAGTAGCGATCTGGCCAGCCCGCCTCCTGGGGGACCTGCTGAAACTCCGGGGTGCTGTGGAGCACTCCTGAAGTAGGAGCCCCGGGCCTGTGTCTTGGTCTGAACCCATTTCCCGGTTGCACAAACATCGGCCAGGCCTACTTCCTGCTTCTGGCCACGGCTTCCGGAGAGCCCAGAGGCCTGGCGGGAAGGTGGCGACCTCCCGCTCGCTGCCCACAGCTGGAATTCACAGGCTCGCTGCGCACGTCCCAAGCCTGTGGAAGTGCTTGACCACAGCCCCCGATCCCCCAGCCAGAGCAGTAGTTGGACACATCCGGAGCACATGTGGGTTGGGAAAGCATCGGCTGACTGCCTCGGGGTGGCGATGCCTTCCAGGCACGGAGCTGGCCCGGCCTCCTCCCGTCCCGGGCCACTCTGGGCTCTCCCACTTCCTCTCGCTGTTTGCCCACCGTTCCAAGCGCCAAGTCACACTGCCCAGCCATCCCTACCATGCTGCAGCTGTGCCTGAGACCAAAGGGGTGGAGCCAGAGGAGGCCCCGCCCCCTGCCCCGCCCCCTTCCATGGCACCTCTCCTTTCCCTTTCCAGGGGACACCGCGGTCTATAAGGACGGGAGCTACTGGATCAGGGGCCGGACCTCGGTCGACATCATCAAAAGCGGGGGCTACAAAATCAGCGCCCTGGAAGTGGAGCGCCATCTGCTGGCCCACCCCAGCATCGCTGGTAAGGCAGGGCGGGCGTCCGCCGGGGTCAGCCTTGCTGCCGTTGTTTATTGTCTTAACATACTGCCCGGTGCCGGAAAGTAAGCAAGGCAGTTACGGGAAGGGAAAAAAGGGTGGAATGTTGAGAATAGATGTGTTGAGAAATAGAATGGGGTATTCATCCTTATTCCCCGTTTTCACCGCTAACTGGGGTTGATTTGGCATTGCAATGCTTGCCCTGGCACAGCTTCTGGGATTGGGAAGGGGGGGGGCGCGGCAGTGGCAGTGCCTGGCGGCGTGTGACTTTGCCTTCTCTCTCTGCCCAGACGTGGCTGTGATTGGTGCCCCAGACGTGACGTGGGGCCAGAAGGTCAGTGCCGTGGTCAGGCTCCACGAAGGGCAGACGCTGTCGCTGGCGGAGCTGAAGGAGTGGGCAAGGTAAGCCTGCGGCCGAGCTGGGACGCGCCTCCAAGAAACGCGGCGAAGGGCAGCCCAAGCAAAGCGAGGCACAAGCAGGTCACTCTTTCCCAAAGCGCCTGGAGGCCAACGATTCCTCCCAAGAAGAGAACCTGTCCTCAAGATGAATCGGCCATCCTGGCTGGCACGGTGGGTGCTTTGGTCCGGCACATCGGGAGGGTGCCAGCTTGGGAAGGCGCTGTGGGAAGGCACAGGCGGGCCGCAGAAGCGGCGCCCCCGCGCAAGGCTTTACGAGCAGCGACCCCTCAGCCGGCCCCAAAAGCCCATGAAGCAAATGAGGAGATCGCGCCATCGATTCATGGTTTTGTGTCTGTCGTGCCACAGAAGGTTTTCCCTCTAAGGGTTCGCGCCCCCCCCCCCCAAAAGCGCATCTTGCAGTGAACGGTAAGCGCTTCTGAGGCGTGTTGCATGGGGAGGAAAAGGCGCGTCATGCGCGGGCACCATCTGGGCCCCGGTGGCCTCTCAATGTCAGCTCCTTTCACCTCCCCCGGGGCATGTCCTGCACTTAGCGGGGGCCACAGGGGGAAGCCGTGCGCCCCCTCCCCTTCTCCCTTCTCGACCTTGTGAAGCAGCCTCGGTTGGACAGGCAGCCTCGATGTCGGAGGGAGGGGGCCCGGCCAAGAGTGGCAGCTGAGCCCCTCCGGGGAGCGATCCTTGGTCCGCTCACTGCACGCCGCCTCCCGGGCCTCACACCCCTGCCGGCCTCCCTGCCGCCGCTCGCCCTGTCTCTCCTCCTCAGCTTCCACGTCACCGGCCTGCTGTCACCCCCCCTTCCTCCCACGCTCTGGCAGGAGACACATGTCCCTCTTCAGAGTGATTCACTGCGCAGCTTTCACCTCCGATCTCTTCACAGTGACAAGCGGGTCCTGGGGTCGGAGGCCTCCGTATGGCCGGACACGTCAGGAGCGCAGGGGCGCGGGTTGAGGACACGCCCGGTGGGCTTGTCGAGTCACGGGCCATGGCCTGTCGCGGCCAGGGTGGCTGGGGGTGGCGGAGGAAGCCACAAAGGGCACGGTGACTTTGCTCCGTGTGGGGACCGGCTCCGGGGGGCCTGGCATCCCGCCCGGCACAGAGGCCCATGCGCGAGAGGGAAGTGTGGGGGACCATGGTGGCAGGGTGTTCACGAAATGGGACGCCTGGGGGGCGCTGGGTTTGCAGGGCTTCTTGCACTCCTGTGGACGATTTGGCACCTGCTCTCCCTGCCAGTTCTAATTGCGAGCATGGATGAGCGCCCATTAAGGTGCCCCCCCCCCCCGGAGCAGGGGGCCTCCTTGCTCCATTAAGGGGCCGTGCACCGTGCCAGGTGGAAAAGCACAGCCAGCGTGGCGCAGCCTCTCCTGAAGCTGCCAGCCGGAAGGTGGCCTCTCGGAACGGGTGCCGCGGAATTTCCCAGGAAAGGCTGGACCAGAGACCATCTCGTGCAGGGGCAAGTGGCGCGGGGAGTTTGCGGCCTCTCTCGCCTGGACGCCTTTCTTCCCTGTGGAGGCCCCACCACACATGCTGTGCACACCCAAGACAGGCAGGGCGACAGGGTCCCCGAGCAGCCGAGGCGACTTGCAGGCGAGCGGCCCTCAGCCTCGCTCGCTCCATGGCGCGTCCTCTCATTTCTATGCTGCAAAAAGGGCCCAGAGCAGCAGCGACACCGAGCGCACCTTTGCCCTGACGCTGCGTTCTTCTACAGCGGCTTTGCGTCCCTGGCTTTGCAGCCGGTGGGGGCCGGGTGCACCTCCTGCACTGTGACTGTCCTCCAGCAGCTGGCTTCTGAACATGGGGACTCATTAGCCCTGCTGGCCGGATGCCACCGGCTGGGTCCTTCCCCCTTCGGGGCTGTAAGAGGCCTTGGGGCACTCTGAGCGACTCCTGCCAGGCTGGAAAGCCTTCGATGTCGCGCAAGCCCTGCTCTCTGTGTCAGCAGCAGCAAGCCCCCCAGCTGGCCCCCTGGGCCACAGACCCGGCCACACCGCCCTGCCTTTCCCCCTCGTTCCTCGCCTCGGCACCGGGCGCTCTGCTGTCCTGGGTTGCCGCCTGGGCTTTCTAGGTCCGTGACGCAGTGAGCCATGCGCCCGTCGGAGGCAGGTTTCAGTTTCGGGGAGAAACTGTAGGAAAACGGGAACGTGCTCCAGCCGGAATTGAACGTGGATTGTCAGATCCACGGGGGTCTTTTGACAGCACTGCGGCTGCCGGTGCTCGCCCGCCCTGGTGCAGCGCCCATCTGCAGGGAGCCTTGCCCAGCGCTGTGTGCAGGGAGGCGGAAGTGCCCCTTCAGCCCGGCCCGGCCTGGCCCGGCCCTCTGCCACGGGGCAGGAGCCAAGGCCACAGTCAGTTGCCCGCCCGCCCGCCCGCTCACCAGGCTGCATCGCTTCTTCCCCAGAGAGTCCATGGTGCCTTACACCATCCCTTCCGAGCTGCTGCTGGTGGACGAGATCCCGCGCAACCAGATGGGCAAAGTGGACAAGAGGCAGCTCGTCGCGCATTTCTACGCCTCCTAGTGCGGGAGGAGCGTGGCCGGCCAACGCCCCTCGCCGGAGCAGCGGAAAGCGCAGCCGGGTTGCCAAGTGCTCGGCCGCCCTTCTTGGCAACCCCCAGCCGCATCTCCGCGTGCCGCAAGCCCTTGGATCAACACACCGATGACAGAACAGAACCGTGGTTTATTTTCTTAACCGTAAATCAGCGTCTTGCAAAACCGGGCCTTTTCTGCTCAGTCTTGTTTTGAATGCAGGGCATCCAGGGCGGAGGAGAGGCGAGCCTGTCGAAGCACCCCGTGCGCCATGCCGACCATTTGTCTGTCACCCTTTAAGGGTATTTATCGGGCGCTTTCCTGTCCGCCAGGGCGCTCCAAGGACGGCCATGTACCTGAAATGCAACACAATCAGCAGAACAGAAGCAGCTCTCTCGTCGGTTGGCGCCATTTTGTTGGGCAGTGCTCAGCATCTGCAGCGCGACTGGAAAAGGTGACTAGCATGATTTTATGTGCGCTTACCGGAAAGTAACTCCTGCCATGGGCAGGAGGCCGCTTTGGCGTGCAACGATGAAACGCGGCGCCTTCCCCTGCCCTCACGACAGAGCGGCAGGGTCCCTCCACCGGCAAGCACAGCCCGAAACCTTTACACTCGCCCATCATGTCTCCGCGTCCCTCTTTTTAAAGGGTCCCCCCCTTTTAATGGTGCAGTAAAAGAGCCCTTCATTAGAGGAGTGTAATCTCGGTGCGGGGACAGTTAATAAGCCGCCATAAATTGCAGTCTGCCCTTTTGCATGTTCCGCTGCTCCCCCCCCCCCCCCCCGCAGGGCGACGATGCTGGGTGGCTGGGACGAGGACGGCTCGACGGAGAGCAAGCCACGGCCTGCCTCTCTCCATGACCCAGGCAGGCCTCTCCCCTCACCTGCATGTCTCGGGCTGCTTCATGGGTGGAGGCACCCGAACTGGGGAGCCCAGCAGGCCGCCTCCCTTCCCAGCATGTTGGCCTTTCTGGCTGTAGAGGACCCCTCGGAACCCCAATCGCAGCAGAGCATCAGAAAGGGGCCGACTGGAAGAGCGGTGTGGGGCACAGGAAACGGGTTTCTTCGAAATCGGGATCTGGGAATGGCACTGCTGCGTCCCAGGACTCTGTCGCGACGCTAAACGGCCTGGCCGGGCACTGGGGAATGTGAGGGGGGCAGCAGTGCCCCCTCCATCCCGCCCCATCACCCAGCGCAGCCCCACAGGTGTCCGGAGGCGCCGGGCTCCCCCGGGGGCATCCCACGGGAGGGATGGCACCTTCCCCTTTGTTAAAACGTCGGCGGCGTGGTGAATTTTTTCACTTACCATATAGATCAATATCAAATTATCATGTCTCGCATTCATAGCTCTTAAGCAAGCAGCCATAGGGAGAGACAAGGTCACTGGAGAATAAATAGCAGCCGGCGTACTCCGTTATCTATCATCCCCGACAAGCCCCCACACCTTCACCAGGCCACTGACAAGATCATTAATAAAACTGTGCCGCTGCCCGATCGATGGCTGTGATGGATGGGCACAGGTAGCGAACGCAGCGCAGCAGCTGCGTGTCAGGCTCAGGTGGGGGGCGCCGGCTCCACCTGGGGGGTGCCCGGCTCCACTGCGGCCCTTTTTTTCTCCTGAGGGAAAGGGGTCTTTAAAAGCTGTTCAGTGGCTGCTGACAAACGCTTGAACTCGGCCCCTGCGCACTCTTCCTGGCGGGGGGGGGGGGGGTCGCTGTTGCCAATGTGGTGGGGGGCACATTTTAGACAGAGCTCCGGGGCTTCTCCTTTCCCCTGTGGTGAGCTGCAGGATGCTCCAGGGTAGCGCTCTCCCGGGGGGCCGTCTCCGGAGATGCCGCATGATGCTCCAGCCATCCATGGGGGCTGGTGCGCCTTTTAAGCAAAGTGGGGAAGCCGCGGCTGGCCGT